TAATTCATGTTAATTTGAGTTTTCAAAAATGTTAAAAAGTGAGAATTATGAAAATTATTATAAGGAGAAAGTAACTATAGTTTTCCTTTTCGTGAATAGAAGAAGTTGCACAGAGTTATTTCAAGGGCTGGGTTAGAGAGGAACTCAGTTCTCATTAGCTTTGCAACAGTAAGACAAAATCTAGGTCCTTCTGTGATCCACATAATGTGATGTTATTTATGCATGCGTGGAGATGAGATGCTGCTATTGGTATCATGTTTTATTAATTTAAGGAGTAGAAAAATCATGCTTTTTACATATAAAAAGCCAAATGGAAGAATGTTGTGTTTGGGTGCTTGCAGAACTGATAACACAACATTTTATTTCCAAAGACAGGATTAGAAATCATTATTTTTGTTATTCAAAGCTCCCAAACAGTTTTGTACACCAGTACTGATTGTACTTCACTTTGAATATGTTTAGTTATTCCCTCCTAATTAGTTCTGGTTTATGCCCCTATAATTGCTCTGTGCTGCAAGGATGAATTGGATAAATTTTTTTCATTTATTTTTGTCTGGATAAAGCTGGCTAACTCTCATTATGAGGGTATATTAAAAAAAATCTGATGCAAATCATGTGCTATCTGCAATAAATAAATACATAAAGAATCTAGCAGCAGGAAATGATTTGGTGACTCATCCTGGTGTGGGATAAGGAAGGCATCTTTTCTCATTCCAAATTAACAAGAATGTCGCTATTTTGTATTAGGGGCTTACGGTTGCTGTACCAGATCTTAAAAGGATTATCTTTGTCGTGGATTTGGTTTGGGTTTGGTTTTAGTCTTTAGCAGTGCTGTTTATCAGTTTCTGAGTGGTGGTGACACTGAATTGTCTATATCCAGCGATGGACACCAAGATTAACAGTAAAGAAAACTACTTACAGTGTTGAAAAACAAGATCTACTTGCCTCTCTTTACCTCAGTATATGTGTATATAATGTGTATTTTTTTTAATATAGTGTAAATTATACCATTGTTTGGTCAATAATATATCTTTTAAAGATAAATCTTCGACTAGTAATGAAGCCAAAAATGTGATGACATGACATTTATAGTGGCAAATCCATTTTATGTAGCTTTACAACCTCTCAGATTAATTAATTCCAGTCAGTCTGTATCAGATGACTGTTGAATTACTGTTGCTGCAGTCCTTTCTTCCACTCTTTGTAGCTCTCTACTGGTTACATAGCCTGCAGTTTCTCCAGCCTCTCTTTTTTTTCTCTACCAGTCCTCTTTTAATTTTTTCCAACTAATAAAGTCTTTCGGGTAGAGGCTGTCCCCTTTTTCTTGTTCTAATACAGTGAAGCTTCAAGACACAACGGAAATACAAGGAATAAATAGTACTGGAGGACTGAAGGAAAAAGCACTATTTTGCTTGCTTGGCATCTAACCTGCAAGCGATGACCCCTTCGTTATCTTTTGCACGTTGAAGAACCCTGTTCAAGGTTCTCGCACATCTCCAGAGAAACTAGAGGGTATTTGAATGAGAAGTATGAAATTCAGGTACCTTTCAACAGGTTCCCAGTTAATTTGGGATATATTCTTTATAATCCCTCCTTAAAATTTCTGTTACAGAACTGCTTTTCAGAGCTCCCCATTGCCTTAGTGTTCTGTTTTCTGTTTCCATAATTACAGTGTTCCAGAAAAGACAAAACACCTCAGTTTTTAGACCTGATTTTCAGATATTATCGGATATTGAATCCCAATAAAGTGTAGGTGGGAAGAGAGTGTGCGGAAAAACAGATTTCTGTGATGCAGTTAGCTGAGCTGAATCTGCATTTGAATTAGGGAAAAAAAATAGCTTTTGGCAAGAAGCAGGCAATTGCCGTAAAAACAGATATTTAATGTCGTTGCAGCTAGTACCAAAAAATCCAACTTACTTCATTTTTTAAAATGGGAAATAGATGTTTCATGGTGCCGTTAGAATGTATGAATATAAAACTGTTCCTATATCTTTAGATCCTATATGATAGATTTTTTACAACAATATCCTTATTGTTTTTTACACATGGTGGTGGGAACAGGTTGAGATTTATTTGCTTTTTCCTGAAAAGTACCCAGTTCTCCTCTCTCCACTCGTAAACAGGGAAGAAAACTTGAGAGGATTAACCACTCACTTTGTTCCTGCTAGTCAAACAAATACAGCTTGCTGTCGTGGTTTAACCCCAGCCGGCGACTATGCACGACGCAGCCGCTCACTCACTCCCCCGAGCTGGGATGGGGGAGAGAATCAGAAGGGTAAAAGTGAGAAAACTCATGGGTTGAGATAAAGACAGTTTAACAGGTAAAGCAAAAGCTGCTCATGCAAGCAAAGCAAAACAACGAATTCATTCACTTCTTCCCATGGGCAGGCAGGTGTTCAGCAGTCTCCAGGAAAGCAGGGCTCCATCATGCGGAAAGGTTACTTGGGAAGACAAATGTCATCACTCCAAACATCTTCCTCCTTCTTCCTCCAACTTTATATACTGAGCATAGAATCATAGAATGGTTTAGGTTGGAAAGGATCTTGAAAATCATCGAGTTCCAACCCCCCTGCCATGGGCAGGGACACCT